CACTGCAAACGTCGAAAGACATTTTTATGAGTTCATCATTAAATTGGTTGTTCTGACTCTCTTACTACAGTTGTTCCCCCAATGCACTACTTTGCATTCCAAGCTAAAAGGACATCACAGAAAAAGACAGTCATGGTTCTCCTAGTCGAACTCAATATTCCACATTAGGGTGTAAACCTTAACATTTTGAACTTATTTTTACTGGGCAAATGCAGATGGTTTCCACCCCTTTATTTCCTGTTGCATCTCGCAGCCTCTCCTTATGCCAAGCATGAAGTGCAGTACAACTATTATTAGCACACCCAACACTGAATTGACTTCTTGCGGTGGTGCAGGGTTGTCAGCTAGAAGGCAAAGCCATATAAACAGCTAATTTAATTCTGCACGCACAATTTTAGAGTTCTAGGACAGAGTCACGGGGCTTATGACCAGTAGCAGAGCTCAGGGAAGTATCTTCAGCTTTTCATTTAAAGAATTATCCAGTTTTAATGCCTTCTCTCCTGTGTGTCTGTGTAGATTCAGTGACCCAGGTCATGATAGTCTTGAGAGCTTGATAAAAGAAGGCTAGTGGACTTTGTTAGGTTTGCGAAGACATTTCCCATCTTATCCAAGAGGCTTCTTCAGTTCTAAAAATGACAGAGAGTCCCAGGTATTTTCCCCCAGGGGGAGGAGTCATCCCATTTGGAAGTGGTTCTGAGGGTCATTGGCTAGCATAGCACCTAGCCATTGTGGATGACACTGGGGTCTCACACACCCTTATGTAGCAGGTTTCCCAGAGAAACTCAGGAGACTTTTCTCCAAGCATGGCATCCCAGTGCCCCTATCAGCCACTTATACTACAGTCTTGAGATCTCTTCCCAGCTGCCTCAACCCCCACTCACGTCTTGCCTCAGGTGGCCTCAATAGGTCACATAATAAGGTGGGGCAAGGTTTCACAGTGGTTTCACCTTTAACCCCCGGTGATTGTAATGACCCATGCTTTTTTTTCACACCTTGGTTCATGTGGTGACTCACATGATCAGTAGTGGGTCAGTGACCCTCAGGATGCAGCACAATCATGTAGCGGGAGTTCTGACAACCAAGAAAATAATTATAGAATCACAATAAACTGAGCAAAGAACTATAAGTTCTTCAAAAAAGCCCAATACTGAACCACATCTTCTGACTTATGGTACCCAATTTAAAAAAAACAACAACTTTAAATCCCTGTAGGTCCTGTGCGTTGCTAGAAGCGAAGCACATCTCTTCAGCTACCTGTCCAGCGGCCCCAGGCTGCTCCAGCAGAGATAAGTGTGGTAATAGACCAACACTATGTCAGTATTAGAGGTGAGGAGGGAGAGAAGATAACGAGTCTGAAAATCTCTGATTGGAAGGGAAAAAAAGTTATAACCAAGCTGTGGAGACTGGAGCTCTCCCCCTCTCAAGCTAAAGGCACATGTGCTTGTCTACAAACATAAACAGTAGTATGAACTCCTTATAGTGTCTTTGGGATGAAAAAAGGTCAACAGCAGCAATGAAACCCTCTCTATCTTTTCATTTTCTTTTCATCTCACTGACCAAATGTCAGCAGAGAAGAAGATAGTTAACCAAGGCTCCCCACACAGACAGACAGACAGAGAGGTTTTCTCTGTCATGCAGTCCTGCATGCACACAGAAGACCATTACTCATCCCAAAGCAGGTACTGCATCAATCAGTCTGACATAAGGCAATGCAGGGGGAGGAATTTCCCACTCAAACAAGTAAGGGAGTCCTGCTAAATTCTCCCCTTAGACAGTTCTTGGTCAGAACTCAAAAGGCAGTCTCCCTCTGGGGCATAAGATTTCTACAGTCCTGCTCAGCCTTTGACATGAGGTCCTGTAGCTACCCTGTCATTTTATTAAAAAGGTTTCCAGACTTCTCACACCGTCTATCCTGCAATGAGAGTCTATCAGTTGTGGCTGAGTGTGACTCCCCTAAATTTGAGGAAACAGCAGCAGCAGTTAAACTTATGCAAGCAACTGAGCAGAACTGGAGTGGTAGCTGTGGTACAGTCTTTTATAATCATAAAGGAAAGAAAAATTTTTTTTTTTTTTTTTTTTTACATTTATCAGTTATTTTGAAGACATATCCTGACTAAAGTTCCAGCTTATTGACTGGGTAGGACAAGAACTGGTAACATCTTATCAGATTTGTGCAGTCTTCTTTTGGCATGAATCATGACCTTTGAATTTGCTTTATTTTCCTGTTTCTCCTCTCCCTCTCCATCCCCTGCCTTATTAAAAGACTTTGTATTCTACAAGTCTGCTTCATTAGCGTTGGAAAGTTAGATTTCTTCACTCATCTGTGCAAGGCATTTTGTGCCCTTAAAACTTCACTTTTACATTTCTTCTCAGTGGAGCTATATCTGCAGGCTTCTACTAACTTTTACATTAATAAAGCTAAATCCATTTATCATTCCTCTCTCATACAAAGAACTCTGGAGGTGGGGAGCACAGAAAAATGGCTGCAAAAGATTGAACTGCTTAGGAAAAGGAGCACTGCTTGTTGCAAATGAAGATGCTTTTCACTCCTGCATTAAAATGATTATCAAAAATATAGATAGATGCTTTTTTTTAAAGTAGCTATGCATCAATGTGCCTGAAAGAACAACAGTTGTAAGTTTATTTGGCATTGCCACTTCTTCACAAAATGAACACAAAAATGCTTGTGCATCCTTTCTGCGACATAGTTATGTTGTTGTTGTTATTTTAAGATTTAAATGTTGCTTAATGATGTAAAATGAGCAACAGAAGGGAACTTTAAATGATCAATTAGTGACGCCAAACAAGTGGGGATAATTACAGCTCCTCCTTTTGAGAAGCAGGGCTTCTTTGGTGGTGTCACATTTTTTAAGATCCGACGTATTCCAAGTTCAGGTTAATAAAAAAACAATGGAAGTCTGCAATATGTGAATGAGCAACTGACCAAAAAGTAAATGAGTGAATGTAACATATTAGGTCAGTCTGGAGAAGACACAGGCTGACCATTCAATGACTTCTTTCTTTCGTTTTTTTTTTTTTTACTACAATGCTGGGAATAAAAAAATGATGTATGCCAATGAGGTTCACCAGAAGCTAGAGGTCTTTATGTGAGACAGAAAACTGAACATTTCTGCAGAAGTCTCTGGGGGAACCAAAAAAAAAGGTTTTCAAAGGCAATGCTTTTTTTTTTTTTTTTACAAATTATGAGAAGAAAAGGCAACACTGGATGCCCAGACCTTTAAAAAAAGTGTCATGTACCAGCCAAGTCACAGGTGGCTTTATTGCAATAGACAGATGCCCTATGTGCTAGTGTTTTGGGGGTATTTGGAGCACCACTTGTGCTCAGCAGAAAGAAAGAACTAGGTATTCATTTTCGTTTTCAACTCTCTGCATGAAAGCATTTTTCTAGGCCCCACCATCTGAACTCTGATGTGTGCTCTCCAGGACACCAGTATTATTGCTTCCACGCCACTCCTGTGCAGCGCCAGCTTTGTTTCGCATTGTCATTTTACAGTGGCTGTTTCTGACTAACTCTCCAACTATTTTTTCCTTTTTCCCCCTTTTTAATATTACTCTTCGTCTCGCAAAGTAGAGGCAGTTTAATGTGAAGCTCAAAAAACTCAATTTGGCTGTTATCAAACCTTCATCTAGTTTTCAGAGTCTCTCAGGTGTTATCAAAGATGTAACAGCAGGCGAATATGTTCACTGTGGTATGTAATGAGTATATGAACAACATCAGACATGAATAAACAACCACCAGGCATCACTTACTGGGCTTCTGTGCACCATAAAAAAGCTGATCTGGAGAAGCCTCGTTCATTTTGCATCAAGTCACATTATCGAGCCCAAACTGAGAACACTCAGGCTTTGCTTTTGTTTACTATCCAGACCCTCCATCATCTGCATGCACCATTTTCCCTTAGATACTTTTCATTACTTGTTAATATGAATTTGATTAAGAATTGTATTTTTAATTTGCCCTGCTTAACATTAGCTCGTAGCTGGATGCAGCTGTCATCTGTAATCTAAAATCTGAACACTTGCACTTAGTATTTAAGCTTTAATATTTTCTATATATTGTATATATAGAAAAATATTGACTTTTTGTCTACTTTTTTAACTAATATGTATACACAAAACACACTGACATACAAAATAGTACTTGCAATGTTGAGTAGAGCCTATTTTGGAACTTTTGTTTACTACCATATCAGAACGTATACAGTGATAAAGATGTAGTGGGTTTTACAATTTCTGGATGTGTGATGTGACACGTGCAAACTCAGACCAGTAGTGTCTGAGTAGTGTGTGTGCTGTCTCTCACACACACATGAAAAAGCATCTAACTGCAGAGCATTAAAGCTTCTTTCTTTCTTTCTTTGGCATCCAATTTGAGACTGCTTTCCAGCAGCAGACCTCTTCTACAAGACCTGTGCTGAAGAGATGTTGTGGAAGAGTTAATGCTGCTCATAGAAACTAAATGAATAATACTTTATTTGCCCCATCTCAAAATACCACTGATTGTGCTTGCTTCAAACAATACTTTTAACCGCATTTCCAATACAACTACGAACTACAGTCAACCAGCTATCATGTTTTTAAGATAAACAGATGCTTAACTAAATTCCTTAAACTTGTAAATTCTTTTAGTGCTATTTCTTAAATTTGTAAATTCTGTAACTTATTGTATTATTTACTTAGTTTAGTCTGTTAATGTTACTGTCTTGGAGCAACTGTAACACACATAATTTCCTTCGGGAATAAAGTATTCTCATTCTGATTCTAATTAACCCATCCAAGTCATGTCTTGAAAAGCTGGTGACCAGGTCAAGCTAATAAAATGCATGTAAGGCACAGTATACAGCAGCAGGGACCAATAGCTGAGGAGCTCTAAAGGTCAAAGTGAGCTGCAGATTTCGATTAGAGTACATATCGTAATCAACACCGCCGCCGCGTGACCTATTAGAGTATTGCACTGCATGGTCTGCGAAGCGTAGGAACCATTGAACGCAGCTGTGTTTCCTCTCGGAGTGTAATACGTGATGGTTAAATCCGCGAAGTAAAAACAACTTGTGATTCTTTTCGTGGATCTCTTGTGGAATCGGATATTTGTTACTTAAAGCACAGCTTGTTAGCGCCATTTCTATTTTTGATGTAGCGTATGCTTACCGAATCTGGTAAAGACTGAGACCTCTGTCATTCAACTTTCTCCGGAGTGTAAGTAAATGTTGACTTTTGACTTCGGTTGTGAAGCTCACATTTTTACTGGCTTTAAAGACCTGAATGCTGGGAATGGGAACTAATGTGGTTTAAAGTACTTTAGTAACGTGGGTGTAACGTGGTAACGCGCGCGCGCGCACATTCACGTTCGGGTTACTGTTGTTAATGAACTAACATGGCTACATTAGCCCGATTTTCCTCTGGATTCACTATACGGTGTGTTCTTTGTTGTTCTTAGGAAATCAAAGATTATGAGTAGGGAGTCCAGAATGAGAGCAACAATAAACCAAAAGTTGACCGAGATGGGAGAAAGAGAGAGGTGAGTCGGTTATAGCCCTTTCTTAATAATGATATATTCGTATTTGTTCACTGTAACTAGCTGAATCCATGCATGTGTGACTGTAAAGCTTCTATAAAGCACAAGCTCTGTCACGTTTCAGTACGTCAGTAGTGCTCAGTGCATCAGTTGAGTTAAAGACATTACCAGCTATTGTAAAGCAAACATGTGGCTGCTACATGTTCACTAGGCACACATTTCATATAACAGTAAATACTCAACTCCGGTTGATGCTTCAAACTAGAAAGTATCTGCACTTATCACATCTTCATTTCAGTGGCACGCATCACTCTGAATAACATGTTTGTAAAGCTGACGGTGTTTATATGAAACAGTGGGATTTCCAGCTGTTATTCATAACTTCATAACATTAGGAGATAAGGGCGCAGTGTGATATGTGCTTGTATCTTATGGACAGATTGAAAGAGATACTGAGGGCTAGGCTCACTGAGTGCGGATGGAAGGACCAGATGAAGGCTCACTGCAAAGGTAAAGAGAACAGTGGTGTTGTTATCATAAATGTCACATCAATATGGTCAGGTTATAGGATTAAAAAAACAAAAACTGAACTTCAGGCGGTGTGATGTGGTTTTAAAGAGGCTGATATATTAACAAATGTAGATTACTGTATGAAAGTTGGAGCATATTTAAATATAGTTTTTCTGTAAATCTGACTGGTTAAACTATATTAATATGTAACCAGTGCCATCTCTACTATATTGACATTAAAGTGACCTTTAATGTCTGTTTTGAAGTTATTAAAGAAACCCTAAAATAACAGCGCCCAACAGCATGTGGTAATAAAGTTGCTAAATGTCAGCATTAGAATAAACATTTTATACCTGAGGTGGAAGCACCTGGGGTCGCTGCACAACCCAGCCAAAGCCCAGGCTTCACTGTGCCCAGCCTTAATGATGCACAGTAGTGCATGCCCTGTCTTAACAATTTATCCTTCTTAATTTGAAGCAGTTATGGATTATCGTATCAAAAGAAAAGACACATTAACTGAAATGAGATCATTGGATGTTGTCAATCTGCATGAAAACATCCTTCGTTCATAAAACAATGTGAGGAAAAGTCGAAAGACTTGATGAGATAAGCATAGAAATGTGTTCCCCTAGGCGAGACTAGCACCCTTGTCCTGTTGAAGCCAGTTGAAGACATGAAGACAGTGCACTCTTGGCATGCACATGGTTAGCTGCTGAAGCTAAAGTTTGACTGTAGAAACTCCTTTCATTAACTAGATGTTGGAACGAAGCTTGCGGTTGTGTTTTGTTGTAGACTGATGTGAGACTGACTCATCTTTTGCTTTTGTTCAATATGCAGAAGTCATCAAAGAAAAGGGCTTGGAGCACGTGACTGTGGACGACCTGGTTGTAGAAATCACTCCCAAAGGCAGAGGTACCTCACTTTCTCTATTCAGATGAAACCGTGTGTACTATAAGTATCAGTTCCTGTCTAGGCTCTCCTTTTTTCCCGTATTGTTTATATATGAAAACATAATAGTTTAGATGATCTAAATTGGCAAGGTTGTGTTTGTGTGAGTTTAGACACAGAGATTGTTCACAGCAACGGATATAATTTTTTTTGTCTTGCAGCCTTGGTGCCAGACAGCGTGAAGAAAGACCTTCTACACAGAATAAGAGGCTTCTTGGCTCAGCATGCCACATAATTTGGATTAATGTTTCATTACACCACTTGTCTATACTACCCTAATACAGATTTATATTTCTCATGAGTTTAATGCATTTCAGAGACAAATACCAGTCAGCCACAACATTAAAGCTACCTCCTTAATATTCTGCTTTGACAGCAGCCCACAGACACAGAACCTGCCTGTCTTGTCTGGCCCCAGGATGTTGGCAGTGCATACTTTTAAATCCTGTGCGTTGCGGGATTTGGCCTCGGGATTGTCCCAGCTCATTCCGAGGATGCTCTGTCAGATTGGCCGTTCTGTGCCTTGGTCAATGCCGTGGGCTTTCTGTCATTTTGTCAATCAGTGTTTGCAGTGTGGCAGAGTGGGGAGTAATGCTTGGTTTTCCACAATGTTTGGATGGCAACAAATGCATGCTGGGATTAAAGGGTTCCCATTAGAACATGGTAATGTCATGTAATGAAGTAATCAATGTTATATACGTCTCCTGTGAGTGGTTCTAATGTTGTGGCTGATCACACAAAGTACTGACAGATCTAGTTGTTTCTACCAATCCTATGCCTCCCGCTATTACAGTTATGTAAATACACCTACCTTGCTTATGTAGTCATCCTTTGTACATGAGATGTGCTGTTTAAATAAAGGTTTTTCTTCTTTGAACTGGAGAAAGTCATTTTTAGAACAAATTCCTTCAGATTGAAGCAGTTACTGTCCAGACTTGTTTTATGGGCACAAGGTGGAAACAGTTGCTGATATCATGATTGTATTTTATATCATGATGATGTAAACCATGAAGAAAATCATATCCACTCACTTTGATAACTTTGATTTAAAAAAATTTTTAAATCGAATTCTTGCACATTATCATTCCAACATCCAATTTTCATCTATGCCAGTGGTAAATGTATAACGCAATTTATCCTACTACTTTTATGTTATTATTTTAATACACAAAACGTCTGATATTTCTATTTCAGGCTTCTTGTGCAGTGGGATAAGTAAGAAGGCTTATGTACAGGCCCATCTGAAAGTTTGCCAGTGAATATGTAAACGACTCCAAAATTGAGCTCTTTGGGATCAACTCAACTGGCCGTGTTTAGAGAAAGAGAAATGCTGATTATGATCCAAAGAACACCACAGCCAAGCACGGAGGTGGAAGCATTATGTTTTTCTGTACAGGACAGCTTTACTGACTTGAGGGGCTCACGAACAGGGCCATATACCATAAAATGCTGGACGAGAACCTTCTCTCAGCCAGAGCACTGAAGATGGGTTATTGCTGGGTCTTCTAGCAAAACATACCACCAAAATAACAAAGCAGTGGCTAAAGAAGAAGAACATTAGAGTCACAAAATTCAATAGCAAGTCTCCAGACCAATAGAAAATCTGAGGAGGGAGTTGAAGCTTTGAGTGGCCGAGCAGCAGACAAGAAACCTGAAGGATTCAGAGAGTTTCTGTAAAGAGGAGTGGAACAAAATCCCTCCTTAGACATGAAAACTTGGTGACCAACTACAAGAAACATCTTACCGCTGTGCTTACCATCATGAGTTTCTCCTTCAAGTATTAAATCATGTTTTGCTGGGCGATCAAATACTTATTTCACTCAGTGAGATGCAAATCAATTTCAAACTTTTATCTAATGTGTTATTTTCTATATTTTTGATTGATATTCTGTCCATCTCCATTAAAATTAAACTACCATAGAAATTAGAGAGTTTCTTTCTTTGTTCATGAGCAAACTTAACAAATTAAACAGGGGATCAAATAATGCTTTTCCCCACTGTACATTATAAATTAAACGTGACTGATGCAATGTCTTTATGTACCAAATCATTTCCTGACTTAAAGCCCATTGTTAACTTCAAATACACCTGCTATGCAGAGTCAAAGCCTGTCAGCTAGGTCTTGGTAAAGCTGCAGATTGTTCCTCTCATGCCCATTTTTAAGGTAGAAACAGGACATTTATCCAGATTTCTGTGTGAATGAACTAGATTTTGACTACATTTACATACGTTTATGGCCGAAACTAAGGTTTAAGTTTGGGTGGTACAACTGGTGACTGCTAGCCTAGCCTAGCACTCTTGTCTTCTACATGTAGGCACTTTATGAAGGAAATAAAATCAGTTTTTCAACCTATAAGATCACTGGACCTTCCAAAAAAATTGAGTTATGCTGCAAAAATAGTTTTGTGCTGTGAATTTCAGAAATCTTTTAACTTATATGGATGACATTTGATGTCGAGATGCTACCCATATCCCCAAAGAAGGTCAGGAGTTCTGTTTAATTGTTCAATTGTTTTTATAGTTTTTTCCCTCTGATTTTTGATTGCATTTTATAAGAGTGAAAGAATGACTTTTTTGCCTTTGGTATTCTGTCTGTAGACAGTTATGCGAGAACAAAATGATATGCATTCCTAGGACATGTGCTTTCCATTGTATTCCAGTGTAAATGAGGGCCCAATTGTATGTGCAGTGTGTAATCCTTGGTATCAACACAGCAGGCAGCTTCACACCTGGCCCTTCAAAGATGGAACCAGAACAAAAATGTGACAAATGAGAGAACAGCTTGAAAATAGTTGACGGGGGAAAGAAAAAAGTTATTTCCCACAGCCGCACGAATCACACCCAGCTGGTGCTGTGAATTAACATTGTCCTTTGATTAAATGGACTTGGATGCGAAGAAGAGCCATGATCATGTAATGACAAGCCTGGTGCTGCTTTACTTCCCAGAATAACAAACTGTTCCCAGCAGAGGGGAGAGATCCTGGAAGGATGAACAGGGGTGACCTTCTTCATGGAGGGGACATGTTTCCTTTACTAAAAACCTGGTTGTCAGGTCATTTCAAGGTCCTCGGAGGGTACCGGACAAAATGAACAAGTGTGCTCAAGTGTTTCAATGAGAGCTGGGGGGTGGGGGTATCCATAAAACATAAATTACCACAGTCTAAAAGAGAGCTCATTTCTGTTTTAGTTTAGATGTTGTCTTTGTTTTGTGGTTTTCCATCCACCGTATACTAAACCTTATCACGAGGGTTATTAAAATGCTTCTCTAGTTACACATGCACGACACCTAATTGGTTATGGATGCACTGTTGCACTGACATAGGCCATGAACTCCAAATGACCTGCCCCTAGTAGCACATTAGCGGGTGGAGAGTGACTCTGCGCTCGTCGCCCACGCAAGACAGAGAGTGTGTTTTCTTAGCCAAAGGACCTGCTGTGACATCAGCTCAGGTGACAACATGCTGATATACAGTGGTGCTGCAGAGGCCAAATGTAACGCACCCCTTCAACCCAGCACACACGCTCCGTTTTAATGGCCGGAATTAATCCCAATGTTATCAGCAGATCTCTCCGGGCCCTTGCATATACAGTAAAAGGGGGGTTAGGTGCACTGTGGCGCACTGCAGGCTGACATTGGACTGAATTCCCAATGATGCAATTTATTATCATATAGTTTTTTGTTTTTCAAATTTACATTCTCACCCTCTGTTCTCGGCTCAGGACCCAAACTGCTCTGCAGAGGAGCTGTACAGTAACCAGATGACTCTGCACATCAATAAAAAGAAGTTAAAGTTGTGAAAAACAATGAGTGAAACATGATTTAACAACTACCTCTTCTCATTCGCTGGTTCAGGTGGACGCATCTGTGGATATGGCAGAGATTTTTGCAGGTGCTGATGGTCAGAATGATTTGTGGCATCCTCCGAATGAGCCACAATCAGTCAGGCAACAACAAAGAGCAAAGTCAATATCAATCTGTGCACTTGACATTTGAAAGGAGAAGACAAACGTGTTATAGGTCTGTGTGTGTGTGTTACCATGTGCACTTATGTGCATGAAGGTTAAGTGTGTGCAGATACGTTCACCACTCCCAGAATCAGACCGCTACAGCACGACAGCAGCTGTGTCAATAGGTGAAAGAGCCAAATGTGTAGCCCCGTATGCTGAGCCCCAGTACTCGGCAGTGCTCGGCAGTGCTCGGCAGTGCTCGGCAGTGCTCTCTCGTTCTCTCTCTCTCCAGTGAAATTGGCAACATTCAAAGACCATAAACACTTCTCATACTGTACAAACTATCTGAAGAAAAGGGCAGCTCAGGGTGGAAACATGCGGCAGAAATGTGCTTGTATTATAAACACAATGTTGGGAAATGATGATGTTACAGTGCATCTCCTTATTTGGGATAACAGTGCACCTGCTTCAGTGGGGAACAGTTTAAGAAGTGCCCACGAAATCTTCCGTGCCAAGCAGTGTTCATAAATGACTCTCATGTTTACAACAGGATATCTAACCTTTCTTACGTATACAACACAGCTATAGGACTTTTTCTTAACGGAAAGGGCAAAGACAGTGCATAAAAGGCAAACGGTCAAAAAGGGTGTTTCAAAACCAAGAGAGAGAAAGGGAGAATGTGCACCTCCAAATTCTCAAGACCCGATGTGCAGTTGGCCCTCTTTACTGTCAACACATGTGAATGCCATGCTCGATAAATTTCTCTTTGAATTCCCCCACTAGAATTTATGAGACGTGCAACATGGGGTTGCAACTCTTTTGAAGCCTACACACTTGCAGCGCTTGGTGCTGTCTGCATTCACGTTTCGAGCGAGCCCAGAGGAGCAGAAATACGGAGGCGCTGGCATGCAGCATCCTGCGGCGAGAAGGGTTTTAAATGTATTTACATTCTGTTGAGTCTCCTGGGAACTGCACTGCTACAAGCTAATGAGGCTGCAGAGCAAGTTTCTTTCTGTTATTCCTGGCATCAGTGCGCCAGTCACAGGCATACCACTCTCACCCACCTCCCCTCCCTTTTCCCTCTCAGTAGCCCAGTGCAAATAATAAATAAGAGGAAATACATCATCCCCCTTTTTCAGTCCCAGAGCCAGAATGGGTCTGCCAAAGTTAACACAAAGCAATCGTAGGTAATGATCAGCAAATGTGTATAAAGTTTCATAGAGCTTGACTTCACATAATTCTTGTTTAGATCATGTTGGCTGGCTGAAGCTCAACTGTGATGCTGGTGCAGTAGGAGCCACACATTCAAACCCAAGCACACACACACACAAGCAATCGCTCGCACGGTTTTCTCTCATCATGCTTGTTTGTGTGTGATGCTTCGAAGCAGCACTTCTGTTTTATAAGTCGCTGTAACTGATTTGATATGGTATAACGCTGTGGCATGAATTAGCTACCAGTCATAAAATTGCAGAATTTTAACAGAGGCTTTGTGACACGCTCATACACATTCATTCTGCGCACGTGTTGTCAGATTTTCCATTCATTTACACACGTCGGTGGCTCGCGTACAAAACATTTCATCATGGCTCAATTGATGAAAATTATTTGCTCATTGTAAGAAAAAGAAGAAAAAAGAAGGGGGAAGAAAAAAAAGCTTTATTGAGTTGGTTTAGTGCTTTACCTACAGCACAGCCAGTGTGTAGAGGGAAAGCCGGGGGGTCTCTGTGCAACAACACGGAGGAAAGAAGCGAAACACAATCCAGACATTGTTTATCCTGTTTCTGATGTAAAGGCCACTTACTGTCGTGTCCAATGCCTAACCCTTAATTTGCTGCTCCAGCCTTTGAAGTGTGTGCATTTTTCTGTTTCCTGACACTACCTTTCCCCCTCTTGCGCTCTCTCTCTCTCTCTCTCTCTCTCTTGCTC